CCCCAAAACCCCAAAACCCCAAAACCCCATGAGTCTAGAATTAGATTTTGCTTGAGAATTAAATAAATAATTCAGATTTTAATTAAAATAAATTATTCAGGATTTGAATCTTAAATCTTAATTTCAAATTAATAAATTCTTAATTGCTAATTATTCTTTCATCACTAATCATCGTCGGTAATTATTTCAATATCATTTAATATTTCTTCAATAGCGATGTCCTCAGTTTCATAATGTTTTTATTTATCTTATTTTGAGAAAAAATCTATCTATGGTTCTAAATCATTAAGACTTTCCTCTTCTTAAATGACTTTCAAAGAATCATTTTCATCAAAAGCCTAATATGTTTTATTAGCTATTGACTAATCATTCACAAGCTGATTTTCATTAGGGATCTAATTATGTCTAATCAATGAATTTCCAATTTTTATAATATCTTTAAGTATAATTCTCTCATCTTATTTATAATTTAATTGAAGTTATTTTTCAGTAATGTCAATTTCTGTTCCTTGAATTAAATAACTTTTTTATTTTGCAATTTATACTGTATTGTAATCATTTTAAACTTTAATATTTCCATTTGAATTGGGTGGATTTTACCAATAATTCAATTCTTTATTCTCTTCAGTAAATTATTCTAGGTTATCGAGCAATAGTTATTCACTAGTATACTGTGCATCACTTTCTATTAAAAAATTCAATTTTTCTCTTACAAATGGATCCTTTGAATTTTAATCATAAATAGAGAGATGAGGATTTATTGAGACCGACTTTTTTATAGTTAGATTTTTGTGATTATTATTTGCTTTATTTTCATCGAATGTTTATATAAGATTAGATTTAGCTGTTTGATTTGTCAAAATACTTAGGAGGGCTTTCTTATTTACGATTTAGATAATTTATTCATTAGATAGATAGTTATTAATTTTTTGACTAATATTTTTTTTAAGTATAAAATTCCCAGATCGTATTGCTCTTCTATCATTTTCTATTTCTCTTTTAATCAATTCATAAAATCTTAAGTTTCCTTGCTTATCTTAATATTTCTGAACCTAACTTTGGAACAAAGAATCGTTGTTACATAAAAAGAGCTAAATATAAAGCTTGGGCATTTTCTCTCTAAGGTATTGTTTCAATTCTATAATGACTTCTTTTATCCAAAATACTATGAATAGTAAATTGATTACTAGTATGCAGATGAATAGAGTAATTTCAGCTTCTCTAGAAAGAGTCACTGCTCCCTTGGATTGGTCTGGATTTTGATCAATCCAATCTTGAGATTTGTTGAGAAGAAAGAATAATCCAACAAAAATGAAAGCTAGTTGAGAAATTAAAGAAATGCTTTCAATATCATTGAGAGCTTATGTATAAAACGGTTACTTCTTAACATTGAAAAATAAGAAACTAAATTCAAATTATGATTTCAATAATAACATACCATATTTGTAAGAGAAAGATTAAAAGTGCCTGAGCAATAACACTTACATCAGCAAAAACCACGATCAACAAAATGAGTGATTTTTTATACATCAAAACAATTTCCCAATAATAATAGTCCGTTCTGTATCCTTTATATATGAAGCCAAGCTATTATCTTATATCTGGACTATTTAACTTTGTTCTTACTTTATATAAGAGAAAATAATAGAATAATGGAATACCTATTCCCCAAACAAGAATGCTTGGAATAGCAACAAATTAATTGTAAGTCTAGTAAGAATAACTCTAACAAATGATCTCTAGATCAAAGTATAGCCTTTATTCATTTTCAATCTCTGAACATTTGAAAGCAAAAAAAGAATAGACCATTATACTTGGATAAGCAAGATAAAGGAGAACAATAATGCTTAATCTAGTTTTGTATAATAAAACTCCTCTTACTCGATTAATTAAGTGAATAATTCTCCACACAAAAGAGCAAATAATAGTGATAAAAATAGGTATAAAAGCATGGAAGCATAGCTGATTGTAAAATATACTAGAGCTCCAACCTTATATAAAGCAATCAATCTTAATGACTTATGAAAAAAACGTTCCCAAAATTTTATAAAGTAATAACAACTATTCTATTTCTTTGCTCCATTAAATATCCAGGCTTAAAATAGCCATTGTTAGTTAGAAATGATTTAGAAGAATTTTGAGGTAAACACAAGTCTCTAGATTTGTTTAGGTTTTTAATGAATTTCTGATCATCAATACTGAAATAAGAACAATAGCAATCATAACTGAAATAAGTTTTATTAAATCTCTCCAGATCTCAGGACATTTTTCGCATTGATATAAGATATTCTGATAATAGTTTATTTAGCAATCAGCACATAAAACTCCTTAATATCCTCTTTCACATTCACCAAGTGGATTGTTATTTGGGTCAATCATTCCAAGACAAGCTTTTTCTTGACGGCATTTAATAAATGTACTTGAATTAACATTCATTCTCCAATATCCAGGTAATGGTCCAATATGTGAGCCTCCTAGACATATAGCCCTGTCTGATTTGCAATCCATGCATGATCCTGGCTCATTCATCTCTATCAAAGAATAACCAACTTCACATTAGATACATTTTCCAGCTACAGTGAAGTATTCTCCGACCAAACATTATCTAAAATTCAACTCTAGATTAATGTCCAAATTAGTTGGTGAAAATAAAGAGGATCTCTTCAGAATTTGGTTCTATTGTTTTAAAGTCTCAAGAGCATCGGTTTAAAATTTTATGACATATTACTATCCTGGAGTGCCAATAAGGTTAGTATCTTTTACTATTGTAACACCTTAGTCAAATAAAAATTCAGTTTATCCCTCAATGTTAGGTGGATATTTGCTCTATTCTGAATTTAGATTATCTGTAATAAAAGATATTATTACTTTGCTCTTTGAATCTGAACCTACTATCTGCCCATAATTATCTTTCAAAGCTAAATAAATATCTTTAATATTTCCTCCACTTCTTTAGTTCTAGATCTTATTAATATTTCTAATAGAATCGTTATTAATATCAAGTTAAAGATTCCTTGAATTATTGCCTAAAACAATTTAGTTTTTTGCTATCAATTTTTTCCATTCATTATATTCAAATTCAGTAATTTATTCTAATTTATATGCAAAACTGGCAATATTTTAACCATAGTATATTGCTGTATTTTATTTGAATTGAGGCTATTCCAATAAATATGGTTCTACTGAATCCCAAAATAAAGCTCCACCCTAAACATCAGCATGATTTTCTAAAAACTAGTTTGAGCCATTAAATATCAACTGGCAATTCAATGTTATTGCTTCACATGAATGGTATATTGATCCTCCTGATCCTTAGTTTTTTTATTAGTTATTTTAATTTACTGAATTTAAAGCTTAATTATTTATGAACTTCGAACTCAAAATTGTTAGAATTTGTTAATTTTCAATGTATATAGCACCACCTACTTAAGCTTAACAATCTTTAAAAGTACTTTCTACTATTTGAAAATTTTATGCAACTTTTTCTGTATCTTCAATTTTAATATAATCTTATTATGATAGATAAATAGCCCCACCTTTTTTACTTTAAAGATTTTAGAATGTTGATTTGTATATTTAGATTCCATTACAGTTTAGACAATATATACCAGCTCCTTAATTAGAGTCAGAGTTATTAGAATTATCTTATACAGTGATACTTGTTGCTTAAAGAAATGTTCTTGACAAATATATAAAATTCTTTGAATGCGGATTGTTAAATGTAACTCTGCTTAATATAATTTTATCATTAGAATTAGATAAATAGAGATCTTCTCCATAATATTATGCAGAATTATTTAGAAATTATGAATCATTACCAATGTAGATACTCTAAAAATTCTATGCGAAAATTGCACCTCCATTGGTTAAAGCTTTATTATTTATGAACTTAGAATTTTAAATGTTATAATTTCCCTATCCAGCTATATAAATGGCTCCTCCAATAGCAGACATTCCATATAAAAATAAGCAATCAGAGATTTACATGTTTACTTCAAATATAGCCTGTAAAAATGTACCTTAGGTTTAAATTTATTGTTAATTTTATTCTTAGATTATTTCTTTTTAGTGATTATAGTTTTCAAATCTTGTCCTCTTGATAATGATAGTACTTGAACTAGCAAGGATATTTGATGTTGTTTTCTATGCAGAGTTTTTTAAGAAAATACAATTTAATATTGTTACATTTACTTACAAAAATCTCATAGTATTTTAATCAGCCTTATTATAATTAAATTCCGATCCAGATATTACCATATCTTATTTATTATTTCCAGTAACTTCAAATACCGAATTTTATAGAGCTTCATTATATTCAAATATTGAGTTGTAAATTTTCATACTTGATTAGATCGAGAATATTCCTACTCCAGCTGATTTAAATGCATAATTTTGGGAGAATTTACAGCCTTTTAATTCCAAGTATGAATTAACTGAAAAGGCTAACACTCCTCCAACTGATCCCATATTACTTAAGAATTTAGATTCAGATATAAATGCTTGAGAAGATTAGCTACTAATAACTCCTCCATAGATAGCTGAATTATATTGGTAAATTGATTTATAATCTGAAAAATTTGTTTTTACAAGATTAAAAACTGATGCCTCAAAAGATGTTCCACAATACTGATACACATTTCTTTCAGAAATTACCTATTAAGCATTCTCAATATAAAAGAAGCCTTTCTGTTGTTATATAAATTATTCTTTTTTCAAAAGCAAAATCTGCACCTCGACATCATATTAATAACGGCAATTGATTGTGTTATTCTTAAGTTGAATGACTAAATTTTTAGAATAAGCCTCCATTCCTCCAACCCTAAGTCCAGAATTATTGTAGAAAATAGATTCTTAAATTAATATTGATTATGCCTATTGAATACTAATTAAACCACCAGAGGTATAAGCAAACTAATCTCTAAATTAGCTATTTGTGATTTTAACTATCAAATTATCCTAATTAAGAAATAGTACTCCCCCATCGCTTGCTTTGTTGCTTCTAAAAATAGATCTATCAATAACCAAGTTTGAGTCATTATAGAATTCAAGAGTGTTAGCCATAAATATAAAACCTCCCTCTTATAACGCACAATTATTTATTGAAGTTACATTAATAAGTTCTATGTCATAAATAATAAATTAATATTACCAATTATCTGAGAATTCTAAGCGTAAATCACTCCTCCTTTGGTAGTGGCTCTAATATTTAAGAAAATTGTATTGTTAAATCTCATTAGTATCATGTTATTACTTTTAATTAATCCTCCCTCATTATCTGTGCTATTAACAAAGATTGAATCTTAATCAAAATAGTTATCTTTTAAGTTAAAAAAAATATTTTACTTGAATTTAGGAAAGCAAATTTCTTTTGTATTTAATGCGATGCTAAGAATTAAATATTCTTGGTAAAAAACGAATTATTACCAGGTTACAGTAGGAAATCACTTTGGTATGTATTATCTACTTTCACATACTCTTTTTATCATATATCTATAATTGTATCTTTCAAAGTCATTTAGGTACCCTGCATTTTATTAACGATTAAAACAACCTTTGATTTCCCAAGAATATTCCTGAAAAGTGATTTTCTATAACCACACAACGAACTTACAATTAATCCTTTATTTATTTTCTCTATTAATATATGCCCTCCAAGAGATTCCCCTCGTTGATAGATTCCAACAAGTTTAATGGATTATAAAAGGAGAAAATCCATCAAATAAGAATTAATTTGTATTAAATTTCCACCTGCATAAGTTTGAATATCGAAAAAACTGCAATTTCTGATAGTTGAATTAGAAATAACTTCATTGGATACATCAATAGCAATTAAATTAATTAATCCAAAATTTGCATTGCCCAATATTGTGTGATTTCTCACGTAACAATTCTACATAAAAAATCGAATTAATCTATCTGTAATTATTATGCCTTTATTAGATGAAGTATTCAAGTAGGTATTGTTATAAAGATAAAAAATGGTTTCGGTAAAAGATTAATAGATTGAAATACCTCCAGAGCTATTAATATAGTTTGAGTTTGAGTCGATAAATAACTTGACTTAGCTTGCTAGTTAAATCATTTAATCTGTCTTTGAATTTATTAAACAATCAACAACTATAGTGTTGTTCATCATTAATTATTAGACGTAAGAAAAACTAAATAGACTTCTTAAAATTGAATTATATTCCTTAGGTAAATATTGTAAGCTACTTCTATCTTAATTTGGATAATAGGAGTATTACTCTGGTTCCCTTTCATATAAACTATTGTCCTCATATTATTAATCCTTAAACTCGTCTTTTCTCAAATCTAAATTGTCTAATTCTATGTAAGGATAAAGAGGAGATTCGTAGCATTTTACATAGTTTGAGTTTAAATAAGCTTATTCCTAAATAATATTAACGTAAAGTAAACCTGAACCAAAGACTCTTGATGTAATATTAAATACTTTGTTATTTTCCATTTGTAAATTTTATGCCATTTCTATATAGATTATCTAATCGAAATCAGTCTTAATGTTCGAAATATAGTTATTCTTGAAAATGATATTAGCGTATCTATTTTAAACATTCATCAATCCCGAGAATGTAGTCGTTATGTTATTAAAGTAAGAATGACTTATTTCCAAATAAAGAGAAGTGTTAAAGCTAATGCTTCCGTAGAAAGTTGAGTCTTCCCGAAACAAATAGTCTTCAAACATAATTTATTCCTTCCATGAGACAATGTTTTCAACTCTGATGTTTGTTATAGTTACATTTCTTAAAGGATTTAACAAATAAATAGAATTGCCCTAATTAAAAAATATCTTTTAGTCAATTGCATATCCAAGTAGATCATAGAATTTTGATGAGTCTATTACCGTATCATGGCATTACTCAAGAAAGATTGCTGTTCCTTGAAATGCTTGATTGTTTTAGTAAGTAGAATTGTAATCTGAAAATTAGGAATGTTTTAAGTAGATTACTCCAGCTCCTTGCTTAGCGTAATGATTTTTAAAAGTATTATTAATTAAGGATACTTAAAATGCTTGATTTATTGTTATAGTTCCATTTAGAGTGCCAAAGGGATTCGAAGTATAAGGTTAAAAAACTTGGTTTGTTTAAATGAAATTAGTTCTTGAGATATTGATTTTTAATAGATTGTTTGTCAAATTTTTACTCTCTGCCAAATATAAGAAGCCTCCATACATTTTAGCCTTGTATTATGTAAAATTAGAATCTAAAATTATATGCAAAAGTATTCTTACCTTCAATAATAATTTGCATAGTGAGATGAGAACTGTAAATAAAGCCACCGTTTCCTAAAATTGACTCACTATCTTACTAATTAACATTTTTAATATGAAATTATAGACCTTCTGATTATAAGTAAAATGCACCTCCATCTTGAAGTGAGAAAATGTTGAAAATTTATAGCCCATCAATAAAAAGAGAGGGTGAATCATTTTTTTCGAGTATTCTTGCAGTATAAGTATTTCTAAAAGACCCTATTTTAGGAATATAAAGCGAATCTTGATCGAGCATTCTAGATTTCATTTAACTTTCACTCTCAGAAGCGATAAATCCACCCATTCCATATCCAGCAGATTTATTTACAAAGATCTGAGTCATTATTATTTAAGATTACTTTCCTTAGTAGATACATCCACCATTTACTGCTATATTTTCAATAAAATTTGTTCCATTAAGTGTCATTTCACATTAACTACAATATATAGCCCCTCCATTATAAGCTAATCCATTCATAAAGAGTGAATTTTAGTCGAAAAAGTTAGTTTATTCAAGATAAATATGTCCACCCATTTTTGAAAATTAGGAATTAATAAATTTGTTTTTTAATGAGTAAACATTTTTTGCTCCAATTATTACGAATGATGACTCAAAAACATAAAGATCTTCATTAATGATATCCAACATTGAAATCGTATATTTGGTCTAATCAAAGTATTATTTTGGTATCTAAGATTTATTTGACTGGATGATACTATTGTTTAACAATGAAATTTCAACTATTTGGGAAACTGAATATAATAAGTTGGATTAAGATGAGCTACTTATGTTTGAATTAGAGAGTTTGAATTAGTTGGCATCCATTATTTAAGCTATTAATCCTCTCTATACAGAAGAATTATGAATTTAGAAATCACCAGTCAAGTCAGCATTGATATTTTATCCATTTATGTAAAGAAATCCTCCCATTCTATATTTGGTGTTCTGATCTCTGATGATGATTTTTCCTTGTATTTTTAGGTCTAAATGTCTTTGATTACTTTGATATATTGCGAATATTCCATATTTATTTTCAAATTCTAAATTTGCTGAATTTAATCCGTTTACCTATAATTTTTAGGAATCAATGGCATATAATAAGGGTTTATCTCCACTCGAGACTATATCCATTAGTGATATATTGTTAAATTCTAATGAACAGTTTTAAAAGTAACCAATCATTCCATTATTGACAATTATATTTTAGAAAATTGAATTATTATCAATGAAATCAACGTTTTAAAGGTTAAAAATACTTCCATAATTATTTCGTTTCAATGAATAAAAACTTTAGAAAGAACTATTATTTAGTCTTAATGTACCACCATGCATTTGAATTACACTATCATACTATTATGTCAACTCATAAGTATTAAATGGTAGTTATAGTAATTTATCCATAGTATATCTGAGGTTATTGATTTCTATCATATTAATAGAGTGTAATTGAAAAATGGGTGAAGCAGTATAAGTAAATTATCTCAATGGGTCTATACTAATGTTTTAGAGCTTAATAGTCAAATTAGGATTCCGAGAAATTATAAAGCCCTCGCTTTAACTGCAATTATCATTTACATAACCTACTTAGAATTAAGAATTTTTTATTTAAATTGAAATAGCCAAGCTGCCTGATATTATAAGTTAGAATTAGCAATCCGATTTATTCCCATAATGAATATTTTCAAGTTAAATATCTTAAATGTTCAGCAAAGTAGTTGAGATAGATTTTCCAATAGAATAATCAATATGAATAGAGTCTAGCTCACTCTTTATTATCTAGCAATCAGAGCAACTGATAAAAATCTGATTCTCAACATTCTGATTTTAAATTAATTACCTAGACAACCATATTTTATTATTGTCTATTTCTTTTCTATTGACTTAGTAATTTATAGGCAACATTTCCATGTTATATATAGATACCTAGGAATTTCTTGGATCATAAACTTCGTGAAAACTATTATCTTCTCGTGATTGAATATTTTCATTTACTTCAAGTCTTTCTATAATTGTGTAATAGTAAGCTAATAAAATTTACCTGCAGTAGAATAGCTCTAAATAATTTGAATCATCTCTGTGTTCTACTAGTAAATAATATAATTTTGTTTGAGTGAATTGAATGGAGAAGAAAAATAATGCTATTACCATTAGAGCTTATTTAAGTGAGTCCTAAATAATCTCAGTTTGAGTGAATCTGTATTAATGCGCATCCTCCCTAAATTAGCAAGGATATGAGGCCAAATAAAGGCATAAATATAATATAATCTCAATCATAAAGAAAAGAATTCGTTTGCAATATCAATGTCAATTAAAAAGATGATTATTATTTTAATTCACGTTTTTTTTGTGAAAATTTATTTCTTTTGAGATTCATGTCATATTGGCAAAACGGGGTTTTGGGGTTTTGGGG